GGACAGGGTACCATGGACTTGGAAATGTCAATATTTATTCTCTGAAAAGTGAATGAATAAAAAGAGAGATTCCTTGGCTACATGACTTGATGAAAGTGTCCCCTTTTTTTCTTGTTCACTCAGCAATCTTCTGAAAATTGATATATCAAATAATACATAGGTTTATGTCCCATTATAAATTATTATATTGGCATCCCAAATTATAATAATTTTTCTTGGAGTTTGGTCAAAATTAATCACTTCCCAAAGCCTTACCACTCTATGTCTTTAGTACCACTGAGACCTTGATAAATTAACCAAAATATGTTCCTAGGACCTATCTCTCTTCTAAGAGATTCTTATTTCCAACAGCTTATTAAACAAGTTCCTCTAAATGTTGCCTTTTCTTCAATTTTAAATCCATTCACAACAAAGCTCAGTATTGATTGTCACCCCATATTTCTACAAACATCTCTGTCTTCATGTTTTGCTTCTGCCAATGACATCACCATCCTTCCTGACCCTCAAAGTAGAAACTCAATTCCTCCTTCTCTCTTCCACCCCAGGATCAGTGTACATTTTCCAAATAGGTTTTCCAACTTCTATTGTCTTACCCCCTAGTTTATCTTCCACATGGCTACTGAAAGAATTATCATTTATAAATATATGCATCCGCTCACTCAACAAATATTTACTGAATGCTTATTATGTGCCAAGCACTACACCAGGCATGTCATTCTAAGCAGAGAAAACCAACTGAGAAAGATCTGATCATGTCACACTTATGTTCAAAACTGATTTACTACTTACGGCCTACAAGATACAAATGCAAGTCCTTAGCACAGTGCACAAGATCCTTCAAAATTTAGTCCCAGAAAAGCTTCCCTGTCTTGCTTCTATCACTACGACTCTCCCCCTCCACACACACAGATACACTTGACACTCCAGTGACTCTAAGTACCCCATCATTCCCCACACTTGCCAAGCCCTCATGCATTGACTTCTTGGCATGACCTGTTGTCCTGAATTATCTTCCTCACTTCTAAGGAACTGAATGTCCTCCAACACCCAGAGGGTAGCTCAGCCACGCAGGGAAACCTTCACTAACTCTTCCAGAAAGAGAGTCTGTCCTTCCCCTGTGCTCTTGGAGGAAGGCAAAAATGACCCTATTACAAGTAGCATTCACCACATTATACGGAGAAAATTGTTGGGGATCAAAAGGTTTACTCAGAGTCTTGAGGAAACTGATAAAATTGTGTTCAAAATCTGAAAAGCTGAGGATAAAAGCTGCCATTTGTAGACACCCCTACCCCCATGTATCCCTGAGACTTTCTGCCAAGAGTGTTTTGTGAGATCATCACCAAAGGAAGTGTCCTCCCTCCTGGCCCTTCTGATACCACGTCCCTGGCAGGTCTCTCAAGGAAGGGCTGTTTGTCCCGTCATGACCTACAGGTTTCTGGACGTGGATACTTTTCCCCTTTTCTCCCCACTGCCATTCTCAAGCCATTTCCCTTCCTGCTTCTTTGAAGCTCATGCCATCAGACTATACCACCCCATCCCCCTGGTTGTTGCCAGCTTCTGATCCCTGGCCTCTGCCCCTCAGTCACTGACAACTTTAGTTCCTGGCACACTGGCTTCCTTTGCCACCTTACTCCTACCATCATCAATGGTTTCTTCATCATCTTATCAATGATCCATGCAAATCTCTAGCCTAACCTTCCTTGACCTTCTCACCTCCATTAACCTTGTCTTCCTCCCAGTCCCTGCCACCTACCCCTGTGGTTAGTCCATTTTTCTTATCATTACCAATAACCACACTATAACCACAATCTCAACTATGAGCATCCCACTCTGTTCTTCCTCTGTCCTTCCAGCTTGCCCCTCAAGCAGCTCCCCACCTAGCAATTCCTCTATCTGAATCCACTCACTATGCCTCCCTGTCTCAGTCACCCCTTCATACCCTCACTTCCTGCTTTATCCTGTTTAAATCCCATAGTTTCTCATTATAACCTCTTGCAAATGACCTTAACTGCCTTACCCCTCTCTCCCTATAACCGTATTTGTATGACCAAGCCCCAGTACTAGTAACACCCAACTGTTGGGCTTTCTGGGTGTGCCACCTCAGCAACTAAACATGGTGGGAGAAAAACACAACTGTTCTGACTGGTCTCGCACGAAATAATAATAGCTGAAGTTTCTGTGCCATGCACTATGTACTAGGTACAGTCTGGGCATCTTACTTATATTACCTAATTTCATCCTTATAAAAATTGTATGTACTAGATGCTACATGATCCCCATTTTACAAGCAAGGAAACTAAAGCCCATAAGGATGTTCACTAGCACGTCCAAGATAGCACCACTGTTAAGTGACAAAGCCAGGTTTTTCACTCAGGTTGTCTGGCTGCAGAATCCTTTTAATATCCCACACTCTTCTTCCTCTACCTCAGTCAGTCAGCATAACTAGCCCACCCTACTCTCCCCCTTTCCAAGTTTTTTCACTTTCCCACTCCACAAACAACTATTGCAAACCTCCTCATCACCTTCTTCTCCCTCTCACTCTCAGCTGACGTCGTTGCCTCACCCTCCTTGGGGGAATCTCCAAGAATCTATCAGGAACTCCCTCGTCTCTCCCCCATCACACCCATCAACTGCTCCTGTGCACGCTGCCTCCCCTCCCACTACGATGAGTGAAGCATCCTTATTCTTATCAAAGAACACCTCTCCATTGCATCCCAGGCCCACCCCTCTCACCTCCCTAGATGCAATGGCCCTGGATGTAGTCAACCACTCTCATGTTCTTGAAACATTTTCCTATTTGGCTTTCATGACACCACATGGACCTATTCTCCTCCCGTGTAACTCACCACCTTTCTTCTCAGTCTCCATGAATGATTTCTGAGCTCCCTTCTTTTTTTTATCTCCACAGTCCCCCAAGTTGACATTAGCCAGTTCTGTGGCTTTACATCTCATCTTTGACAAATCTTAATTCTAGCCTGGCCCTTTCCCCAAAGTCCAAATTTATATATCCCACTGCCACCTGTACATCTTCATCTGTATAGTATCTAATAAGATATCAAAATTCATGGTTCCAACAGAACACTTGACCTCACTCCTCATATGTCCCTCTCTGGTCTTTTCCATCTCAGAGAGAGGCACCATCATTCGCCAGATTGCCCAATTCAAAAACCTAAGGGTTGTCTTTGATTCCTCTTGCTTCTTCACTTCTCACATCCATTTCATTATTCTCCCACCACCATCCTCTACCATTATTTAACTTCTCTACATCTCCATCCTTATCCAAGACATCAACATCTTGTCACTGGACTACTGAATACCTGCTAGGTAGTCTCCCAGCTTCCACTCTTTCCCTTACAATTCCTTCTCCACAGAGTACCCAGAGTGATAGTTTTTAAACATAAGTCAGATTAAATCATTCTGCTGCCAACACTCCAAGGCTTCCCATTCCATTTATGATAAAATGAAAATCCCTTACCTTGACCTTCATCTAGCCCTTGCCTATCCCCCCATCTTAGCTAGCACAGCTCCCCCATCACTCACTGCACCAGCCATAGCGGTCTTTCTCCTCTTCTCAACATTACCAAGCCTGTTCCCATAGTAGGGTCCATCTCCAGCTGCCTCCTCTGCCTGGGATGTGCTTTTCCCTTATCTTCATATAGGTTGTTCCTTTTGAGAAGTCAGGATTCAGCCTAAATGTAAATTCTTCAGTGAGGGCTTCATGGCTGCCTAAAGTAACCACCAGTCACCACTATGTCTCCTATTTTAATTCTCTGCATAGCACCATTCCTGCTTGACATTTCTTATGATTTACTCTTTTGTTTATTTTCTCTTAACCAATGAGAAGGTAAGTTCCATAAGACCAGGGGTCTCCTCTATCACATTCACTGCTCTTTCCTCAGGCACTTGGATCAAAATCATTACATAAACAGATGTAATTGCAATTGCCACAGCAATTTCCCCTGAGATTTCTAAGGATTATTGGAAGTCCAAACATCAGGTAGCTGCACACTTGTACAGGACACAAAGGAAATCATGGGCCAGCTGACAACAATAGCCACTACAAGAAAAGGTCAACTGGCAAAATGTGGGACACCATCCTAATAAATATGATGAATAAATATGGCTAATGGAATGGCCTGGGTTCAAACCCTAGTACTGTCACTTACTGCTTTTAAGTGGGCAAATCACTTCCTCCTCCCTCTCTCTCTCCCTCTCTCTATCTCTATCTCAGCTTAAATTTTCCCCATCTGTAAAATGGGAATGACTCACCTCCTTTGTAGGATTATTGCAAAGACTGAATGAGACACTGCATGTGAAGTGCCCAGAAGAGCAACAATGCAATAACTTGCAGCCACAACATTCCAGGAAAGGTGAAGTGAAACCTGGCTGATATGAGGAGTCCCCGGGGCCTAAATGTACCTAATTCCAACTCAAGTCCTACTCCACTTTTCCTCTGAACCTCCAATTCCATTTCCACTTGTCCAATACGTGCTCTGTCCCCTCCATTCCCAACCAACATGACCAGATGTGTGAGTGTGTGTGTGTGTGTGTGTGTGTGTGTGTGTGTACACCCACACATTTATGCATATGCATGTCTCACCACCACCAGATGCAGCACCTGGGGTGTCTTCCAGCTGTTGTTTGTGGATGTGACTGCCTTTTCACAGATGTGTTTTCTTCCCTCGGAACAATTGTAAATTTAGACATGTAGCCCCTGCTCTCCAGTCCCTTTATCTCTCCTTCTAGAGCTGCTCCTATGACACTCCTTTTGGGGGACCCGCCAGCCCCCTGGGCGGGCTTATATATAACCCCCCTCGGTGCCTGTTCTATTAGGACCGTTTAGCCCATTGTGTGTTACTTGCTTGATATATGTCTGTCTTTCCCTAAACTGTGTTTATTAAGGCTCAGAAGTTAGATAATTACATTCCAGTCAACTTTTGGCCACATTTGTCTACTTTGAGGACTAATTATGGTCCAAACATGAGGCCAGACTGACTTACCTTGTTGAAATGGTCTCTTGTGCTCACTTCTCCTGTCTGGAAGCTTTCGTAGGTCCCTGGTGCAGTTCATTTCACTGGGTTTCTAAGAAACACGGAATACGGAAGGTAAATTGGCAAAATATAACAGACTGTAACTATTATGAACAGCTTTGGAGAAAACTGGACAATTGAATATATAGGAAACTGTTGCCTGTGGTTAAAAGAGAAAATAGCAATTATCAATTCCCCGAGAGGTTAAGAAAGAGCTCTTTTGAAATTAGGTAGATTTATTTAGTCATTAATTTCAAATGAATCTTTCTAGGCACAAATATATACAAGTAGTACACAATGAAACATAACTTCTAACCACATAGAAAATATGTATGGGTAACATGCCAGGAAATTTTGAAGTTCTGACAAAAGGAGTTTTTGTTGAGTCAGAAATCTAATTAAACAACAAGGGCTGTAATGTGTCTCCTTGGCACAGTGGAGGGATGCATTGAATGCTTGTAAAATCTGAGAACGGGGCCCTCATGGAGTGTGTTGTATGGATGTCCTCTCCCCAGCAAAGGCCTGGCCTGTACATCATTGAAGAAAACCCAGCTCTCTCCTTTGCTGTTCTTGCATTTCTGCAATATTATTAAGTATGCATAATATTTCAGTATCTCAAGAGAGCAACTGGTAAGAGAACTAGCCAAAGTTCCTAATATGGAAAACCTGCATATTAAACAATTGTTTGGAGTAAAGTGTAGCATAGAATTAAGATCATGTGTTCAGTACAGGCTAACTGCTTCTCAGTTGTGTGACCAGAAACAAGATACTTAAACTTCTTAAGTCTCAGTGTTCCCATCTGTAAAATAGGGACAATAGTAGAAACTATCTGTAGATTGCCATGAGAATTTTTGTCATGAGAGAGTTCATGTAAAGCATTGAGCATAAGACCCAGGCCCATTGGTTGGACTGTTACCCTCAACATTAAATTACAGGACTGTGATTTTCCACAATGCCAAAACAAAGTGGTCCAGTTTTCAGGGTGGAGAAATTAGTAACAAAATGCATCTCACCAAAAATAAGTCAATAAGTTAAAGATCAGGGAAGAGACTGGAACAGCAGGAGGTCAGAAGATGGCCTCAGGGAACCTTCCAACACAATGCTGCCACATGACTGTCCCCATATCTCACCCATCCCACCCCATTTATCCCACTTTTCAGATCCCAACAGACCTGTTTATACCATTTATACCCTCTGCTCACCAAACAGAGACCCCCTGATTCTGAGCAGGTCTGAGGCACCTGTGTCCACTTGTAGCCACATATATATTCACTCTCACACATAGCCCTGAGTGGGACATCTGTATAGTACCTGGGATGACAGTCTATGAACCACACACATATGGGCTTGCATGAACATGTTCACACTTGCATATGCGCGCACACACACACACACACACACACACACACACACACACCTTGTTTAACTCTCCTAAGTCACCAGCCATGTCTGCTGTGCAGTCTTAAGCTTTGATAGCCCTTGTCCCAGCTGATTTTTATTTCTCTTCTCAGATCACTGCAGCCAGGTCTAGAATGACTTAATGAGTGAAATTGAGCCAAGAAGTCTCGCCAAATTCCTACTGGGAATAATCTGGAGGCTTAGGTATGCAAACAGTATTAAAGGGGACGCAGGGTGGAGCTCCAAATTTCAAGTCAGGAGAATTGGTTTTGAAATCCAGATTCACTTTTTTATGCCTAACCTTGAGCGAATTGCTTAATCTTTCTGAACCTCAGTTTCTTTGTATCCAGAATGAGAAACATCCTGCCTCACAGATGTTATGACAATTCAATTAATGCAGATAAAAGTATTTCATGAACCACAAAGATCTTTTGTGTTGAATACAAAGAATCTTGAACTAATGGTATAAATTTCATTCTCCAGTTTATGGCTGGAAGCTTATTTTGGTAACAAGAATGCTGAATAGCGTTGGCATCCAAGGTGAGAACTAGATGAACTCTAGAGAGCCACTCTATCATGGTGCTTTATCCAGAGAATGACAAAGACCATGCATAGGGCGGCCAGTATGGATGCTATCTTAGGCTCATTTGCTTTCCTTGGAATGGAAGTGGGATGAGATGGGAGAGCCGAGGTTACATGTAACTAGTTTAGAAATTCAGAATTATTTGCCTCTGAGAAGTCTTTAGAATGCTATTCCAATGAAGGTATTTTCCTCCCAAGTGGAGTAAGAGTGAATCTGGAACTCATTTCCTTCTGCCCATCATAACCACGGACTTGTCAGAAATGCTGGGGTGGCAGGGTCCACAGGCTGCACAGACTCAACAGAAACTGGGCCCATATGGCCTGAGGTAGGCAGCCTCTAAGATGGCCCCCAATGATCCCACTTCCTGGTATTCACATCCTTGTGACACCCCTTCCCCTTGGGTATGAGCTACATCTAGCAACTCACTTCTATCAATAGAATATGGTAAATTGATAGGATGTCACTTCTGAGATTAGGTTATAAAATAATCTTGGTTTCCATCTCTCTCTCTCTCTCTCTCTCTCTCTCTCTCTCTCTCTCTCTCATTCTGAGGGAAGCCAGCTGTCATATTATGAGCTGCCCTATGGAGAAGCCCATGCGTCAAGGAACCGAGAGAGATTTCCAGCCAACAGCCAGCAAGGAACAAAGGCCTTTAGTTCAACATCCTGTGAGGAACTTAATTTTCCCAATAACCATGAGTGAGCTTGGAAGTGGATCCTCCTGCAATTGAGCCTTCAGATGGGACCACAGCCCCAGCCAAAACAATGACTGTCCCTTCCTGGAGAGTCCTTGAGACAAGCAAACAGTTAAGTCACACACAGATTCCTGATCCACGGGAAGTAATGAGATAACAAGTGTTTGTTTTAAGCAACTAAGTTTTGAGGTGAGTTGTCACACAACAAGAGATAACTGATACAAAGCCCTTACCAGACATTCTGAGGAAAAATCCCACCCATGAGACTCAACAGAGAAAGGTTTTCTGCCAAATAATTCTGCCAGTAGTGGGAGCTATTTCACTAAGTCCTCCTTTTATTCCACTCTCATCTCTAGAGAATAATACAATTTCTGCTAGAAGAAGGGAACTTATATACATAAAGAATTTATGGCCATAAAATATAAAAATGAACCCATCACTAACAGTCAATTTTGACAAGGCCATTTGGACACAGCAGACATACTGACGTGGCCAGAAGGGTCAATATTGGAATGAGCGATGGGGCTAAGTGGGAAGGATGGGACTCAGAGATGGTGCTAGGGTACTTGCCTTGCATATTACTTAAGAGGTATAGAAAGCTGAAATTTTAGTGGTCTCTTTTTAAGACCAAGTTAAAATGCCCTTGGCATCAAAATGGCTTTGTGAAAGCAACCAGGTCAAAATGACAAGTTCTATCAGTGAACTATTTTATCCAACCCCACTACATAAATACTGTTTAGGTTCCACCTGGGCCATGAAGTCAAGAGAATTGCCGTCAATCATCCTATCATGCTTGTGCTTCCACAAGCATGCATGTGCACACACACCATAAAAGGGGTTCAGATTTACAGGGTCTGAGAACACAGGGTCTAGAATGATGTGAGTTTCAAGGCCACCATCTGCCCTGTGCCCTACTCAGATTTTGGGTTATTCTAATTCAAAAGGCTGAACAGCACCTGCTAAGAGATTGGAGCTTCACCAACGACTCCACAGAGAGCGAGTCATTGTAGGGATGGTCCTATGAGAGTGTCCCCGAATTGCTCGTCATCCCAGGCACATGAATGGAGAAACTGTTTATTGTGTGTGGTGGACGTAAGGAGGACCTTTATCTTTGAAATGATCCTGTTGGTTTCCTGAAGTTCTCTGTATCTTTAAAGTTATTAAATGTATCAACACTTAAAGAGAAGAATGTCTCCCATGGTCCCTTGTGGTTGTGTCATCATTGGTCATCTTCCTCAGCAATAAATATCAGCAATAGTTACAGGTTACCATGATCCCAGACAGGTCCTGTTCTGAGTGATCTAACCAGCTGGGTTGGAGACAGGTCTTTATAGGCCAACGTTCCATCCCTCAAGTTACTAGAGTTCTGGGTTCCTCAACTTCCTCCTGGGTAGAAAAAAAGGATACCCGTGTGTCTGCTGCTCTCTCGTCTCCCATTTAGCTCTGACCTCCTGTGTATCTGAAACCTCCTGGCACAGCAGGCCCCAGAAACAGGAATGCACTCAAGTTTCCCAATATCCCACCAAATGAATTCCTTATGAGCCCAACTTCTGGGTTTATACTAACAGAGAAAAAAACTGCAAGTCCTGACCTTCAAAGCTCGGCTGGTTTTCACTCCCAGCCACATTTAAAGGAGAAAAGCTAACTTTTGCCCTCTAGGGTGGGAAATGCGAAAGGCACAGTGAACGTGCTGAGTGGAGACCACAACAAACCCCTCCTGAGTGCAGAGCCCACAGAGCCAGGCTAACAGTCTTTCCATCCACTGAGTGGAAACTCGAAGCAGAAGGTGTCCAGACGGACCCTGCTTTCGCTCCCATGCCAACTGCCGTAAACCCGTTTCTGCCCTGTTGGAGCTGCAACGTAGAGCCAGAAATCTGGAAGAATTTAACAACCAGCCAGTTCAGACACAGGAAAACATTGTTCAAAGTAAACACTGGAATCCCTCCCTCATCATCCAGGAATGTGGAGCCAGCAGGGTTCAGATCAGCAGCTTCTCAGAAAAGCCCTGGCTATGGGGCTGTGCTTGGGGCTGCAGCCTAGGAGGGCCAGGCCGGGCTCCAGAGCTGTTTTCTGGCTAAGACACGGTCAAGGCCAGGAGGTCGGCACAGGGGCTTCTCCCCTTGAGGGCAGTGCTGGCCGCAGCCTCCAGCTACACAACTCACAATTGCTCAGCAGGACCCAGCTTGCATGCAAGGGCCTCAGGTTGTCCCTGAACTTGAGAAAAGCTGGAGGCAAAGTGCCCTGGAGGAACTGAGTGGGGCTCAGGGTGCTGGGGACTTTCCATTTCCTTTGCCTAAGGAAGGCTGTGAAAGAGTCACTTTTCCTCGAGGAAGAAAGAAAGCTCTGTGTGTGCAGGGAGGGTACAGTGCCTCCAATCAGAACACATGTGCTAGTTGGGAGGTGGCCACCAGCGTTCATGGTGCTTTTGACTGAGACTTTCATTCCATCTCTCAAAAGCCATGTGCCAGGTCCCCGCCCTGTTTCCTATGGCCCTGGAGAGCGGAGAGAAAGGACTCACTTCACTGGGGGTTGCATAATGGATCTCAGAAAAATGTTACACATTAAATAATTTATGTCACTGTGTTCTGCCTAAACTCCACCCACGAAGACGCAGGCCTGAACTGAACTGTTACAAGGTTTCTGACAGTCAAAATGTAAAAGTCTGCAAGTTAGGAAGGGTTCAAGAAGAAGAATGCAGAATCCAAAGGTTTGCCACAGGAAGCCCTGAGCAGAGTCCTTGGGGTGGGGCTGCCAGGGCGCATGCATCAGCAGCAACAAATCGGGTGACAGCCTGTCTCTCCCTGACATTCACCGTGGCACGCACCCCACTCCTCACCCCTGAGGGATCCACAGAAGACATGTTTAATCTGCTCATTTCGTACACACTTACTGAGTGCCTCCTACTGAACCAGGCAAGCAAGAGGGGCGCCTTCCTCCTCTCCGGGAGCATATGATCCAGAAAGGAGGCCATCAAGGGTGATCCTGGAACCAGCAGCAGCAGCATCACCTGGTACTTGTTAGAAATGCGTTTTCTCTGGCCCCACCCTGGCCTACTACATCAGAAACCCTGGGGCAGGGCCCAGGGACCTGTAGCTTAACAAAACCTCTAGGTGATGCTGACGCACAAGGAAGTTTGAGGAGAATGCTTAAGAATCACCCAGTCTAATCTGTCACCTCCTCATTGGTTATTAGAGAAAAAGCTGAAAGGTTAATGGTTTGCTGCAGGAAAGTCATAGACTCGGCATGTCAACATGCTCCTAAATTCAAAACAGCTGTCCCAAACTTCAGTGTCCTTGGAAACTTGTGAGTCCAGTTTCAGAAATAGTTTTTCCGCCTCACTTTGGCCATCCTTTACTGGTGGTTTCTAAGTTTTATTTTGAAGAAGAGGTGGGAGCCATTTCTCCACTCATGAGCAATCAAACAGGTGCGATCTCTTTTAACTTGCAGCAACCACTCAGCTGGATGTATCACAGCCCCGTTTGAAGGCTGCTCTGAGAAGGCTGCTTGCTCTACTGTCTTTGGAGTGGCCCCCTCACCTAATTCTTGGTGGGCATCAGCAGAGTATACAACCAGGCTTTCTAAATGAGTTAATTTTTAAATAAAAGTACCAACCAATGAAGTAAATGTTCGTTTGTCCATTCAGCAAATGGCTTCCATGTTGCCGAACTCAGCTACCTACTTTGTATTTAGTTCTTAGCTTGTCTGACCTATTGACAACAATAGAACCCACTGGCCACTCTAGAAACTTCCTCTTCTCCTGGCTTCGTCATCCCACTTCCTTCTGGTTTCACCACCTCACTGCTGCTCTTGCAGCCTCCTTGTCAGATGCTGCTCCTGTGCTACACCTTCAGAGAGCCCCAGGGTGCTGTCCCCATCTTCACTCTGTCCCAGGGGGACCCCATCGCTGTGCCACAATTCATACATGTGTGTCGCCAGCCATGGGCTCTTCCCTGAACTCCAGGCTCATATAGCCAACCACCTGCTGGACATCTCTCCTCAGCTGTTTTCTACGTGCCTCAGAACTACTGTTACACACACACACACACACACACACACACACACACACACACACCCCAAAACCTGCTCCTTCATTTGTCTTCCACATCTTATTAAACAGCACCACTAACATACCATTTGCCAGAAAAACAAAAAAGGAGTGTTTTTTCCACTTTCCTTCATCTTCAAGATCCAATTTACCATCAAGTCATATCAACTGAGCCTGTACAAATATCCTGAATCCATCCTAGAAGGATGGATTCTACTATTATGACTACTACTACTAATGATAATAATCTCTCACAGCATGGTTCCTGTGTTCTACATGTATTAATTAATTCATTGAGCCTTCCCAAGAAACCTATGAGTTAAGTGCTACGTTTATCTCCTCTTACAGAGAGCAAGATTGAGGCAGAGATGCTCAGTGACTTGCTCAAAGCCATACATTTGTTCTGGTGGAGCCAGGATTTGGGCATGGGTAGCTGGCACCAGAATCCATGAGACGAGACACCCAGGGCATCTCCATTACCATAGGATATGCTTGGGCCTCTGGATGGCCTCCCTGCTTCCACTCTTGTTTCCATATAGCAAGTCCTCGAATAAAGTTGTGTTTGTACATCGTTTCATCATAACGTGGATGAGATGCCAGGAACTTAACTCTTGTTTATATCAATTAGCCTAAAATTGATTTCATTATATGTCATTTTAATTAAAGTCACAGATCCTATCCATGACATTAAGTGAGGACTTACTGTACAATTTATTTTATATGCCCTGCAGCCAGAGTGGATTTCCCAAAACAGGGACCAGTACTCAGTCACTTCCCAACCTAAATATCCCTCTAAGCATTTCCACATAGCCCTTAGAATGAAATCCAAACCCTACCATGACTGGCTTTACCTCTCAGATCTCTCTATCTCTTCACGCCAATCACATTGCCCTTCTCTCTCTGTCCTGAAACTCATCAAACTCTAGCTATTTCCTCTACTTGGAATGGGTTTCCCTACAGATTTTCACATAGCTGGCTTCTGGCCATTTGCTCAATGTCACCCTCTCAGAAAGGCTTTCCTTAGCATCCTGCTCTGAACTAGCCACTCAGACCACCTCTATCATATGACCTTATTTTATTTTTATTATAGCACCTAGCTATCTGAAATTATCTTAAATTTATTTGTTTACAGTTTATTTTTCTGCCTGACCTCTTAGAATTTAAGTTCCATGGGATGAAGGAACTTGTCTGTCTTTTCTCCACCTATGTCCCAGGACCTAAAACTGTCTAAACACTTACTGAGCACCTGCTCTGACCAAGCACATGGATACAAAGGTGAATACAGCAGAATCCCTACCCTGATGGGTGCCACCATCTGTAGCTCTACTATACTGTAAGGGAGGTTATGACAAAAGGGGACACAGGTGTCATGAGGACATCAAGAGTGATTTCTCACCCAGCCTAGGAAACTCAAGACGACTTCCTGGAGTAGAATTAAATTCATTTTGTGTCAATAAACAGTTATTCTGGGCCAGACCTGCAAGTTACAGAGATGGATGAGACCAGTGATCTACCTCCTAGTGCTAAAATCACCTAAAGAAAGAGCATTTTAAAACACAGACTGTCCCCTGCCCCACCCCACCCCCAAGTTTCTGATTCAACAGATCTGGGGTACGGCCTGAGAATTTGCTTATCTAACAAGTTCCCAGGTGAAGCTAGTGTTGCTAGTCTAGTGTTGCTAATCACCCTTTGAAAATCACTAGATCAGACCATTTTCTTGCCTCAGACCTCCATGAGTATAGCTAGCTCAGCACAATGCTGAGCTATATGTCACTTGCTCTGATAGAAATCGGAGCTGATAATATGTGAGGGGATCACCCAACTCACCTAGGAGAAACCAGCACCTGAGTTTAGTTCTGAATAACAGGTAGGCATAAGTGAGACTAGGGAAGAAAATAGGAAAGCTTGAGGAAAAGCATGATATGATGTTTAAATTTAAAATAGATTTCAATATTGCTGAAGCAGAAAGTATAAAATCAACATTAGCTGAAGATGAAATTGAAGCTAGCGCCAGACGCAAGAGCCTTGAAAGATGATTAGCAGGAAGCCAGACTGAATAAGAGCAAAGTGAGCATACTATACTCAGAGAACTTCAAGAATTATGGCCAACACATAGGCTGCACACAGGTGGAGGGAAAGGATTATAGGGAGAACTGAGTTTGTAAACAAAGATGGAAGTCAAACCATGAAGGATCCCACCTTGGGGCTTTGTGCTCCCTGTTTCCTCTGCCTAGCACATTCATGCTGAAGAGTTATATCTTTATTTTGCAGACACTATGGTGACTGTTGAAAAGCTTTAAGCAGGGAGTAAGAGTGGCATTATCAGCTTCGTCTTTCAGAAAGATCCCTGTGGCAGAGACCTACAGCTTCGTACCAAGGATTTGCACATCCCATCTTTGTATCAACTTGATACTGAGAATCAATTGCTTAGCCAAAAATTCTATTTCCCCCATCTTTTTTTATCTAGGTGGTCTTGTGTCTGAGTTCTGGCTACCTCCAGACCTGGCCCATGAATGCTACAATATGACACTTTTTACCTTTTCTTTCCCCATTTATAAGCTCGAAGTAAAGGAATCAAATGTTCCAGGAGATTGCAGAGCCACACATGGAAGGAACCTGGATCCCTGAATAAATGTGTGGCAGTTAACCACAAAACACCCAACTGAATTTTACTTCTGTTATGTTAAGTCCCTGATATGTAGAGGGTTATTTATTATAGCATCTGAGGTATCTTAATAAATCCCTATGGTCTTGCTATAATAATGGTCTGGAGGCCAGCAAGGCTGAAGAAAGGAGATCAGTAAATAAATTACCAACTGGGAAAAAATTTATGGGAAACTGAACCAAGTTAATGGCAGTGAGAATGAACACAGAGGGACAGAATGTGATCCCAACTAACTATAGGGATAAAGGAGAGACAGGGGTCTAGAATGATGCTCAGGTCTCTGAGTTGGGTGATGGAGATAAACAATAGCAGAGAGTTGATTTGGGGGAAGGCTGCTTAGTTTTATTTGAGATATTATACAAAATCCAAGTAGTTATGCCCAGTGAGCAATTGTCCATATGAATCTGGTATCCAAGAAAATGGCCATGGTTATAGATACAGATTTGGTAAAAAATGAGACTAAAGACTGTTATATATCTCATTTGCATAAAATGAGTTGAGAAAAAAAAAATGAGAACTGAACCATGACTAAGCAGAAGCCACCAGAGAGAAGAAAGAAGTGCAGGAGTACTCTCAGGAAGCTAAGAGAAAATACCTGCCAAGGATACTGTGGTATAATTTATAATAATAATAATAATAATAATAATAATAATAATAATAATAGTTTTGTCTTTGTCTTCTTCCTGGCACAGAGCTCCTAAAACCTTTGGAACTTATTGCCTTTTGTACGCTGCTGAGATGGCTCATGGAGGGAGTCTTAAACAGCTTCAAGGTGGGGGGCGAGTGACCGGAAAGACCAACCATATAATTAGAGGGTTAGACTTTCAGCTCCACCCGAAGCTCCATGGAGGTGGCAGGAGCTGGAGATTGAGTCATATTCATCAATGGTCAATGATTTAATCAGTCATGGCTACATAATGAAACCTCCATAAAAATTCCTACACAATGAGGTTCGGGGAGCTTCCTGATTTGTGAACACATCAATGTGCTGAGAAGGAGCCATGCCTGGGAAGGGCATGGAGCTCTGTGCCGCCCCCATCTCTTCCATTTGGCTGTTTCTGACTTGTAGTCTTTATAATAAAGTGTAAACGTAAGTAAAACATTTTCCTGAATTCTGTGAATCATTCTAGAAAATTATTGAACCAGAGGAAGGGGCCACGGGAGCCCCTAAATTTATAGCCAGTTAGAAGAAGTACAGGTAGACTCTGGGACTTGAAACTAGTGTCTGAAGTGGGGCCAGTCTATGAGAC